GTAGCCCAAGGCAACTTGGAAAGTGATGGGGGCTGTTTGCAGGCTGACACTGAAAGGGATAGATGTGGGCTTGAGAGGGATGAGGCCTGTTTCCAGGGTGATAAAGAGAGCAGAGGTACTGAGGAAGGACTGGAAAAGAAGGAGGCTTGTTTCCTTGACAACTTGGACATCCCAGATGATGAGGAAAACAATGGGACTCGCTTCTGTGATGATCTCAGTGGGGTGGGTGAAGGCCAGAAACTAGCCACTGACCAGCCCAGCTCCTCTTGCCACTCTCCTGAAGCTGTCACTAGCTGGCCGGCTGAGGTCTCCCACACGTGTTCTGACTGTGGGCATTCTTTCCCTCATGTCACTGGCCTGCTGAGCCATAGGCCCTGCCACCCCCCAGGCATCTATCAGTGCTCTCTCTGCCCAAAGGAGTTTGACTCACTGCCTGCCCTGCGCAGCCACTTCCAGAACCATGGGCCCGGGGAGGCAGCCCCTGCACAGCCTTTCCTCTGCTGCCTTTGTGGCATGATCTTCCCAGGACGGGCCGGTTACAGGCTTCACCGGCGCCAAGCTCATGACTCCTCTGGCATGACTGAGGGTTCAGAGGAGGAGGGGGAAGAGGAAGGAGCATCAGGGGCAGCCTCCACTCGTAGCCCTCCACTGCAGCTCTCAGAAGCAGAGCTGTTGAATCAGCTGCAGCGGGAGGTGGAGGCACTGGATGGAGCTGGCTATGGGCACATCTGTGGCTGCTGTGGTCAGACCTATGATGACCTAGGGAGCTTGGAGCGTCACCACCAAAGTCAGAGTTCTGGGAACACCATAGACAAGTCTCCCAGCCACTTAGAGTCAGGTGATGCTATGGGAAGGGTTGCAGACCATGACCATGTCTTTGAGGACGCAGTGGCCTGCCTCTCTGGGGAGGGTGGGGACACAAAGTCTGGAGAGGGAGTAGGTGCCATGGTTGTAGACAACCTTTGCATGCAAGGTGGGGAAAGTTCGCTGGAGGCCCAACCCCGCCCCTTCCGCTGCAACCAGTGTGGCAAGACCTACCGCCATGGGGGCAGCCTGGTGAACCACCGCAAGATCCATCAGACTGGAGACTTCATCTGCCCTGTCTGCTCCCGCTGCTACCCCAACCTGGCTGCCTACCGTAATCATCTGCGAAACCACCCCCGCTGCAAAGGCTCTGAGCCCCAAGTGGGGCCCGTGCCAGAGGCAGGAGGCAGCAGCGAGCCCCAGAACATGGCAGAAGAAGGGCTGGGGCAGGCAGATGTGGGAAAGTTTCAGGAGGAACTTAAAGTGGAACCCTTGGAGGAGGTGGCAAGGGTGAAAGAGGAGGAGTGGGAGGAGGCCGCTGTGAAGGGGGAGGAGGTGGAGCCAAGGTTGGAGACCGCAGAGAAGAGCTGCCAGACTGAGGCCAGCTCTGAGCGGCCCTTCAGCTGTGAGGTGTGCGGCCGGTCGTACAAGCATGCTGGCAGCCTCATCAATCACCGGCAGAGCCACCAGACTGGACACTTTGGCTGCCAGGCCTGCTCCAAAGGCTTCTCAAACCTCATGTCTCTCAAAAACCACCGGCGCATCCATGCAGATCCCCGGCGTTTCCGCTGCAGTGAATGTGGGAAGGCTTTCCGCCTGCGGAAACAGCTGGCCAGCCACCAGCGGGTGCATGTTGAGCGGGGTGGGAGCGGGGGCACTCGGAAGCTGATTCGGGAAGATCGGCCCTTCCGGTGTGGGCAGTGTGGACGGACCTACCGCCATGCTGGCAGCCTCCTAAACCACCGGCGCAGCCACGACACGGGCCAGTACAGCTGTCCCACCTGCCCCAAGACCTACTCCAACAGCATGGCCCTAAAGGACCACCAGAGGCTGCACTCAGAGAGCCGGCGGCGGCGAGCAGGGCTATCTCGGCGAGCAGCTGTGCGCTGTGCCCTCTGCGGCCAAGGCTTCCCTGGCCGGGGATCTTTGGAGCAGCACTTGCGAGAGCATGAGGAGGATACCAAAAGTGGTCTGAGAAGTCCAACTGGCACAGAGGGCAGTGAGGGGAACCTGGCAAATGACCAGGGACTAGAGGACACATCAGGTGGTACTGACTCAGTTCTCCAGCTGGAGGATGGAGCCAGGAGGCTGGGGGGGCAGAGTCTGAGCCCCATCAGGGCAACAGGTTCAGAAGCCACAGAACTGGTATCCTGGGACATGGGGAATGCAGAAGGGAGGCAAGGAGATGGGGGACCAGTGGATCATGGTGGAGATTGGGTTCCTCAGGGTCATATACTGACCAAGCCAGAAGATGAGTCAGGGAACAGCATCCCCAAGAGTCCTTGCCACCTTGGCAACAGCCAGTCCAATGGACCTAGTCTGAGTCCAGTGGATAGCTGGGACGATGGAGACAGCCGACCTGAGCTCCGTCAAGACAGTCACACCTTTTCCTGCAGCCACTGTGGCAAGACATACTGCCACTCAGAAGACCCTTTGAACTGCCATAGCACTTCCAAGACAGACCGCCACTATTGCCTGCTCTGCTCCAAGGAGTTCTTGAATCCTGTGGTCACTAAGACCCACAGCCACAACCACATAGATGCCCAGACCTTTGCCTGCCCTGAGTGTAGTATGGCCTTTCAGTCCCATCATGAACTAGCCAGCCACCTACACACACATGCCAGCGGCCTCAGTCAGATGCCACCCCTGAGAGAGGAGGCCAGAGGTCCTGAAGGTGGGGCTGTGAAGGATGAGGTGGATCTCCCTGGCCAAGGGGAAATCCAAAAGGCCCCATCAGAACCCCCCAGGACCCCAGGAGAGAATACTGGGAGTGCTAATGGGGGGCAAGGAGTAAAGTCCACAGTGGCTGAAGACGAGGAACGGCCCTTCCGTTGTGCCCAGTGTGGGCGTTCCTACCGCCATGCCGGTAGCCTGCTGAACCATCAGAAGGCCCACACCACTGGACTCTATCCCTGTTCCCTCTGCCCCAAACTTCTACCCAACCTGCTGTCCCTTAAGAACCATGGCAGGACCCACACAGACCCCAAGCGCCACCGCTGTAGCATCTGTGGCAAGGCCTTCCGGACAGCTGCCCGGCTGGAGGGTCATGGACGAGTCCATGCACCCCGGGAAGGGCCCTTCACCTGCCCTCATTGTCCCCGCCACTTCCGCCGCCGAATCAGCTTCCAGCAGCACCAGCAGCAGCACCAGGAGGAATGGACAGTGGCCAGCTCTGGTACGGGGACATGAATGGCTTGGGCAGAGGACGGAAGGGCTCCAGAGTAGGTGGGCAGAGTGGGGGTGGGGGGACAAGGAATGAGAGGAGAGGGTCACATGGCTTCCAAAAGGTTGTGCAGGAGTGGAGGGCGGGGAATTGGATATGGAGGAAACTGGTCTGAGGATGCTGCCTGGTGAGGGCAGAGATCAGAACTCCTGAGTCAGGTAAACAGCATGGTGGGTTGGACAGTGGGCTGGGGCAGAGGCAGCTGCCATGCAGGAACCAAAGAAGAATGGGCTTTTTGTTTGGGGAGGGGAGGCAGCCATGTGTCTACTATGTCTGGAAACTCCTGATCCAGCCAGTAAAGGAATGATTTCCAGACAAAAATGGCCTAGGTGGTGCTCTTTCCCTAAGTAGGCAGGGAGCAAGAGGGTGAAGAATGGGGTTGGGAGGCACCCCCAGATTGGACTGCTTTGTGTTTTGTGCTTACCTGGTCAGGGAAACTGGTCACTGGTTGGCCCCCAGCTCCCTGTCCCTCTTTCTCTGAATTTCGTCTCTGGTCCCCCTCCTCTCTTCTTGGAAACTAGACCTTTGGTCCTTAGGTACTGATACTGCCTCATGTCTCTTCCCTATATTGAACCCTTTACCCTTTCTTCTCTCTGCTGTGCATCTCCTTTTTAGGAGCCAACCAAACCACTTTTTCCACCTGCATACCCCCATTCCCTCCAGCACACCTTTAACTGGAGGATTGAGTCACAGATAATTGTTTCTTTGAAGCCAGGCCCAGCTGAGGCAACAACAGTCATTAGCCCCTATCTCCCATCCTCTATCAGGGGGAATTTCCATGGAAAGTCACTCCACCCAGCCCGACTGAAGGATGAGGCTGTGTGGGAGTGGGGCAGCCTGTTTCCTCAGTCTATTCTTGAGCCCTGGGCTCATGTCCTCTGCCTCCTCTAGAGATCTGTAGGCCTTCTCCCAGGATCTATTCCATTTAGTGGCAACCAAGGGTGGGTATCCCCAAGATGGCGGGCCCTTGACCAGAAATGATCAGGGAAGGAGGGGATGGTGGGTGAGAGTATCGTGAGAGAGCTGACAAGATGGCTTTCAGGATAAAAGATTTCTTGTGACCTCAAGGGAATGAGTGAGGAGCCAGTTAGGCCTGGAAAAATCATTAGTTTACATGCAGGCCTCTGGGGTTGGGGGTAGCAGCAGAATGGCCTGCAGGCTAGGGAGGGGGTGCAAGCTGTGTGGGGTTTGCCGGCCTCAGTCAGTGACCTCCTCTCTTTCTCCCCAGGAGCCCCAAAGGCACCAGCAGCGGGCAGACGGGACCTGTCATTGCCCCCTCCACCTACCCCCACAACCCCACTTCTGGATCCTTCACCCCAGTGGCCTGCAGACCTCAGCTTCTCCCTCTGAACTTCAAGTCTCCAAAGATCAGAATACGGGCGGGGTGGGGTGGGCGGGTTGTAGGGAAAGGCTTGATCTCCATGTTTTGCTCAGGAGTAGTTAGGCATCCCCATCTCTGATTTCCCTCTCCTGCTGTGAAGAGGACCCAGATCTGGCCTCTTGCCCATGGAAGGGGTAAGGTGTTCCTCATATCCCTGTCCTTGAAGGCTCTCCTTTCCCCAGCCTTTGTCATTATGCTCTTCCCTATGACCAGCCCTGCAAGAAACCCGGTGCCAGACTCTGCCACAACGTGGGGCCGCTGTCACCAGCCAGATTCCAACAAGAGGGAGAGGTGGATTCAGAGAGCCACAGGTGGGAATGTTGCCTATGGAAGGGGAGCCTTTTGCTACAATTTGTAACTTATTTTCTAAAGTCTATTTTGTAACAATTTATTTAAGTTTAAAAAAAAGGAAAATTGCTCCCCCCCCAAAAAAGAAAATTTCAAAGTAAGCGGCTGGTGTGATCATATCTGAGGGGGGAAGACTAGGGAAGGCTGGGGACGCCTGCATCTGACGGCGGAGCTGGGTGTAGGGAAGCATCCACAGGCGACATCTCCCTGGCCTGCAGGGTGGGGAGTAAGGGCAGTTGCTGGTCCAGGCGTGCTCCTTCCCAGAGCCCACGGGGCTGCTGGGCCTGCCCCAGTGCCTGGAATCATGCGTGGGTGGAGGGAATGGGGGAGGTACAGGGGCAGTGATGCAGGAATTGTCTCACTGCGTCTGCAGCATCCCAGAGCCACCTCTCAACAGCCAGCTGGTTTGCCTGTCAGGAAGAGGAAGAAGGGTGGGGTTGGCCTCATCCTCAAAACTTTTCTTCCCTCCCTGGAAGGAAGAGGAAGGAGGTGCTACTTTAACCCCTATGACAGATGAGAAAACTGAGGTTTGAAGAAGTTGAGGCCTGCTCCAAGTCACAATGATGAGGAACCAGAATTATGTCCACTATCCCACCCAGGGCAGCAAGAGGTTGGGTCAGAACAGATCTTTCCCTGGATTGAGAGAGAATGGGTCTGGAGAGGGAAGTGTTAGCAGGGAGGCCCCAGGGCCACGTACTCATGTTAGCCAAGCAGCTTCCAGTCTCTGCCTCGGGCTCTGGCTCCTCAGCAAAATAGACCTGCCAGTCCAAACTGCTGACCCAGTTCTCATAGGTGGGAAGTGCCGCGAAGACTGCAGGCCTTGCAGGGCCTTGGCAGGCATCTCCAAAGCTGTGTAGCCCAGCCAGGAACCATGTGCCCCTCACCTCGTGCACCAGTGGTGCCCCGGACAGGCCCTGTCAGGAGTCAGGTGACACTGGGTGACTTCCTCTTTTCCCTAGGCAGCTGTGGGGGCAGAAGGGGCTTGGGGCTGGGATGAGGCTCTGGCTCTTTGGGAGCCAGTTGGCAGAAAGGCCCAATTTCAAGTGCGAGGCGGGTCTGGAGGCCAAGCCTGGCAGGTCTGTGAGTTACAGGATAAAGATGCCAGGGGTCTGTGGAGTAAGGTTTGGAGGACTGGGGCTCACCTCACAGTGGGGGGGCTCACCTCACAGTGGGGCGGCTCACCCACAACACTGGTACACACCATTCCTGGCAGAATGGGGATACTGTCGCTCCCAAGAGCTGTATGCAGCCGGCTGCAGGCCCTGGGTCCCAAGAGGGTCACAGGCACTGTCTGAGGGGAGCTGGCACCTATAGGGCAAGGGAAAAGACCCAGCTGCCCCAACAGCCTCTAGGATGGATGGGTAGCTGCTGATGGGCCTGTCCTACATACCTGCTTCTTGACGGGGCAGCCCCAGGACCCAGCCATGTTCCCCATCAGGCAGGTGGTGGTCGGCATATGGCAGGCAGAGGGGCCGAAGGCTGGGGCCCAGTGTCACAGGTTGGGCCAGCAGCAGGAGTGCCACATCATAGCCCCCCTCTGGGTGGGTATAAGCCCCATGTAGGATGAGCTGCTTCAGGCCCCGTTCCTCTGGTCCGGTCCCCAGCCCTATGCTCCATTCCTCTGGGGTCTGGCGCCTGTGCAGAGAGGCATCATTGACAGCATCGAGTGGCAGGCCTGCCAGCGAAGGCATGGGCATGAAGGCAAGAGAGACATGGCTCACCCAATGAAGCAGTGGGCAGCAGTCAGCACTACCTCCTCTGACACCAGGGCTCCACCACAGGCCAGCTTCCCCTGGTGCTTCAGCCTGGCATCCCAGGGCCATGGGGAGGGGGCTCCTGCCTGGGGACCTCCTCTCCTCAAGGATCCACAGGCTGGAACAGACAGATTACATCATCTGCCTTCTTGCTAAGTGCTCACCGCATGCCTGACCCTGTGCTAAGCGCTTCCCACGTACTATCAAATCCTCACAATATCCTCTTAAGTTGGATTTTGTTACCCTCATTACCAAAGTAACCAAAGTTCCAGAAAGGTTAAGTGACTTTCTAGCTCAGTAACCACAGGCAGGTAGCCAACTTAAGTCTCAAAAACCAGGGAGGGCCTAAGCTTTTAAACCCTGATGGTCTAGCCTCATGGGAGTGGCCCTGCTCATTATTCTCTGTCTGTGCCCCTCTGGGCTTGGACTGGCCCCAGAATTCCTGGCTCACTAGTACTTCTCTTAACCATCAAGATACAACTTCGTTCCAGGAATAATTTTGCATGCAATTTACATGTTAGTTACTTAATGCCAGAATCCTGAGCGGAAGCCTGCCCTGTCCATTCTCACTGGGTCCCTGCTTGGAAACTTGCAGCTTACCCCCACAACCTTCAATCAGATCTCAGAGATCCCTCTTCATACCTAAACTCTAAATACACAAAGTTCTAGGGGTGCCGGGGTGGTTCGGTCGGTTAAGCATCTGACTTCAGCTCAGGTATGATCTCACCGTGAGTTCAAGCCCCGCATCAGGCTCTGTGTTGATAGCTTGGAGCCTGGAGCCTGTTTCGGATTCTGTGTCTCCCTCTCTCTCTGACTCTCTCCCACTCACACTCTTGTGTCTCACTCAAAAATAAATAAACATTAAAAAAATTTTTTTAAATGCACGAAGTTCTGAAGTATCTGTGCCCCTTCAGCCCTTAAATGGAATGGTTCCCATCTTAGAGGCTGAAAGGGGCCTTAAATGCCCCCCTAGTTAGCCCCCAGCAATGTGTGACTGCCCTGTACCAATTCTCTGTTCTGAGCTGAAACTTGCTTCACTGTGCTTCTGTCTGCTGCCTAGAACACGTCCCACTCCTAACATCCCCTGCTCATACCTACACAGCTGTCCTCATCACTGATCTCTGGGGTCTCTGGGTTCTGGGACAGGAAGGCTGCCCCCTGAGCTCGAGCCTGAAGCCAGGAGCTGTGAGCAGCCATGTTGGTCAGCAGCACAGGAGTGTCTTCTTGGGCACAGCTTGATGCAAAGCTGATGATCCCAGCCTGAACCCAATGTCCATCAGGCTCACGGCACAGCACGGGGCCCCCAGAATCTCCCTGGAGCCGGGAAAAGGAGTCAAGTATAGACACTTCAGCCCCAGCCATGGACAGACACCCTTTAACAGCAGCAGGTCCACCCTCCCTGTGGATCAAGCACCCAGCTCAGGGCTAGGCCTCCTCCCCTTCTGCTCCCTTCTCATCTTCCCCATCAGACCTGACAGGGCCCCTGCACCCCAGGCTGGGCGCCCCCACACAGCATCCCAGGCCGAGCTGGGCTGGCCAGCAGCCGCTGGTGCAGCCGGTTGTAGAGACAGTTACACGTGGGGCGGCTGATTAGACGCAGGCGCAGATTCCGTAGAGTCCTGGGAGCTGGCAAAAGAAAGGGAGTTGGCGGGGGGGGGGGGGGGGGGGGGGGTACAAATCTGACTGAGCACAGGGATGGTTGGCAGCTGAGGCTGCGTGACCTTGGGCAAGCATAGTGCCTCTCTGGGATTCAGTCTGGACAGCACTTACCATCATTGGTGTCCTGATCCCAGCCAGTAGCCCAGCAGGAGGTCCCAAAAGGAAAGCGATGGGTAGACTGAGGCAAGCAGAGGGGTGTGCGGGCCATGGGGTGGGCGAGTCGGAGCAGGGCCAGGTCTGAGCCTTGGCTGTAGTGGTTATAGGCCCTCGGCAGCTGCAGGGCGGTCACCCCCACCTCCTCGGCCCCTGGGCTCAGCCCCTCACGTTGCAGAGAACCCAGGACAACTGACCAGGAGTTCAGTTCTGTCACTGCTGCCCTGGAAGGGGAGGGATGAGGCCAAGGCATTGAATGCAAAGGGGGACAGTGACACCAACCGGGACACTACCAGGTAGGTGGAAGATGGACAAAAATCAGCCCAGAGCTTTAAGCAAGGTCCTTCCCTCTCCCAACCTCAGCTTTCTCATTTGTAAATCTTCTACCAAGGCTTAACTTAACTTGATAATGTGTACCTGGCACATGGCACACTTTCAGTAAATGATACATTGTGATTCTAGGGGCAGGAGTCAGTTTTATAGAGTTTGGAGGACATATCACCCACCCCACCCCCAAAAGTCGGAAACTCTGACCCCAGCCATGACTCACTTTTCAAAGCAGTGGGCAGCAGTGAGGACCCAGGTATCTGCCACTAGGGATCCGCTGCAGATGTGGACCCCCCGCCTCCTCACACTTGCTTGCCAGGGCCACTCACCAGGTGCTGTGATGCCCTCCTGAGGCTCGGGGGGGCCAGGGCCACGCTGCCCACATACTGTGGAGAGGGGTGGATCAGAATGACAGAAGGTCTCTGTCCTTCCCTCATCACAGGCCCAAGCCAGACCTAAGGAAGGCCTGGCCGCATATCCCCAAAGCTTACCGTGCTGAGCTGCTTGAAGACCTGGGAAGAGAGAGACACAGATGAGACTTACGGGAGCCTTACCTGCATGGCCCAGCCTTGGTGGAAGGGATAGGTTTGGGGGGATGGGCCCTGGGTCCTTGCCTATGACTGTGTGGCTACCTTACCAGCCCCTCCCAGAATGAAAATATATGAGGCCAAGAAACAGCTTTTATTGGAACCTATTCAGAGCTTACACTCAGTAATTAATTCTCCTCCCTCAGCTGTGCTCAGCACTCCTGAGTCTGAGAAGCAGGGCCAGGGTTCATCTTGGGACTAGTCCAAACTTCCTCCAGGCTTCAGATCCCCTAACTCCAGCCCCCGCCACTGAGTCAGGGAGGCGGCCTGTATATGTGGAGAGCATTAGCTTAATTGTGCCCTCAGTCGTGAAGGCCTAAGAGGAAGGATTAGAGGCCGACGTCATGTCTGAGTGGGGGAGGGCTCCAAGAGATTGAGAGTCCCCACCCTTGTTCTGACAACTCAGACTCCCCCACCTTTCCACAAACCACCAGAGACTTTACCAAAGGATCCCCTACCCTGCCTCTTCCCCATCACAGGCACAGAAACATCTGGGCCAGGAAAGATGGGACATATGTAGAGACGGGGAGACTGAGGCCAAAGGGCCCCCGAACTTGCCTAAGGTCATTCTGGAAGTAGATAGGCAGACGGGCACAGGGTACACACACAGGCATAATGACTGCAGACATAGATTGTAATCTAGCCCAAGAAAATCACACCCATTTTGACAAAGGTGGCCACGTACACCTCCTCTGATACACAGCCAGACATGGTTACATCGCCACAGGCAGACCATCGCTCCCCTAGGCATGCCCCCTCACATACACACCAGGCTGCAAGGCTGCTGGGGCAGAGGGTGGCCCCTGAACACCTACCATACCACTCCCCTACCCAAACATGGGTGGCTCACCCTCCATGAGAACCACTGCTCCCAGGATGAGCAGCTCTGGTCCCCAGCTCTGCTTCATGCTGCTCCAGGCCACTCTGCCGCCTGTAGTCTGGTTTTCAGAGAGGCCACCTGGGTCTCCCTAGCTCCACCTCTGCTCCGCCCCCCAGTTGGCTAGGAGTCAAGTGCCAGAAGGGAGCCAGCAGCTCCTAGCTCTGGGGTTGTGACTGTGTTACCCTGGGCCATTCACCACCCCTCTCTGCGCCTCAGCCATGGCCAGACTGCCTTGGTTCAAATCCCAGTTTCCCCATGTACTATGTGAGTGACCTTGGACAATTAGCCCCTACGTGCCTTGTCTGAAAAACTCAGAATTGTTGAATGTAAAACCTTAGAGTCCAACATAGAGCAAACTTGCTCCCAGCATGGAAGTTGTCCTCTGGGAACTGGGAAGGGCACTGTGGGCAGACCCTCCCAGTCCCTCTATTTTAGCTTCCCCACCTCTCCCCCAGACCCACGTGCAGGTGGGTTTCACATACCTTCTCCCATCTTGCTTCAGTGGCAGTGTGTGCAGGGCTGAGTATTGAGGGCTGGGGCTCTCTGCTACTTCCTGGCAATGTTAGACTGGAAAATCTCAACACATCTCTGCTGCCTCCCCAGGAAACAGGGTTACAGTGGTGCCTACGTTTCTTACAGGTGGTGGAAGACTCAATCAGGAGGGAAGAACACTCAGTGTGCATTCTTTTTCTCTTTCTGACTTCTAACTCAGGCCAGCCCCAACTGTTCAGGAAACCTGACCCCACACAGAGGAAGCTGTGTTAAGAGCATAGACACTGGTGGGGCACCTGGGTGGCTCAGTCGGTTAGGCATCCGACTTTGGCTCAGGTCATGATCTCACAGTTTGTGGGTTCAAGCCCCATGCTGGGCTCTGTACTGACAGATCAGAGCTTGGTGCCTGCTTCGGATTCTGTGTCTGCCTCTTTCTCTGCTCATCACCCCCCACCCCACTTGCACTCTGTCTCTCTCTCTCTCTCAAAAATACATAAAACATTTAAAAACATTAAAAAAAAAGAGGGGTGCCTGGGTGGATCAGTTGGTTAAGCGTCCAACTTCGACTCAGGTCATGATCTCAGTTTGTGAGTTCAAGCCCCACGTTGGGCTCTGTGCTGACAGCTCAGAGCCTGGAGCCTGCTTCAGATTCTGTGTCTCCCTCTCTCTCTGCCCCTCCCCAGCTCATTCTCTGTCTCCTTCTCCTTCAAAAATAAATACACATTAATTTTTTTTTTCTTTTTAATTAAAAAAAAAAAAAAAGAGCATAGACACTGGAGCCAGATGGCCCTGGTGGAGTCAAATCCTGAGGACTCCCTAACCCCCTCCCCAGCACTAGCTGTGTGATCTTAGGCAAACTACTTACACTCTCTACCTCAGTTTCCTCATCAAGATAGGGATAAGAGTACCTACCTCATACAGCTGGATATATAAAGATTATGAGTTAACACATGTCATATTCTTAAGCAGTGCTTGGCATGTAAATGCTTAGTATATATCATGAAAAATAAAAAATATTCGAAACATGTCCCTGGTCCTCCAGAGCTGCCAGGACTGGCTTGGGGTGGTAGATAAGGCAGCTGGCGAGGTTAAGGTCAGACCATAGAAGAACTTCCCAGCAAGCATGGACAGAACTTTGCCCTTGCAAGTGTGTGCTTGGCTTTCCCAGGAAAGAAAGTTTGGCTCTCGTTGGGGAGCAAGGATAAGCCACCAGCTTGCTTCCTGGGGGTAGGGGCCGATGGCGCCCCAGGTCTTGCTGACTCCACACGCTGGAGAAGGGACTAACCACCCTTCTCAGGCAGGCCCTCCACTCTCCCTCTGACTCATCCTTCCACTCCAGAGGAGGCAAGACTGGGGGAGGCTCAACACTAGGGTTCCTCATAGACAGATGGCTCAGACTTAGCTAATTTATTTAAGAAATTTTATTGCTCAGAACCTTCTCTCCTTGGGCAATGGCAGGAGCTTTGGAAACCAGTCCTTGGGGAGAGAGACAGAGGCACTAGGGTTGAGGAAAGAATGTGGCACATTTGGTCCATTGTCCTGTGTGGGAGTATGGTGGGGTCAGGTTGCAGACTTTTATAAGGACAGAGACAGGGCCCCCTTGGGCAAGGCTCACATGCCAAAGCAGAGCATGAGGTCAGCCTGGCTTGGGTGAAGGCTCAGTGCCCCTTGACCTTGCCCTGGGGTTCCTGGACCTTCCGGAAGCTGAGTACCACCAGGCCCACATTGATGGCATAGGTGGTGATGCAAACGATGCACAAATCATAGAGTACGAAGAATAGGATCCAGGCCAGGTAGACAGAACCAGCAAGAGACACCAGGGAACTCAGCACCAGCAGGATAGATGCCCAGCGGGCCCGGAGGCAACCTGCAAGGCAGACAAGGCTCAGGCATGGGCTTCAGGGACTGGCCACCTTTAGAATACTGCCTTGACTTCATGGTACCACCCAGATATCAGGGGCTGCTGGGGAAGAATCTCCAAACTGAGAGGCTCTGATGAGCCTCACCAAGGCCTTGGTTCTCCTATCTGTTCATTGATCCATGGAACCCGAATAGTGAATTTTCCTGCTGAGCTCTACATGAAATGAAAGAGAAGCAGCCCTTGGATTCCTCCCGGAGAGTAACTTCTGAGTCTTTTCCATAAAACTGGGGTCCTAGGAAGTCTTTAAGGGCGCTTTTGGCTCTGATAGTAAGTAAACCAAGTGAAACACTTGTTAGTTCCTGCCCACAGGGTGTTCAGTGATGAGTAGCTTGCTGTCAAGTGTCTGGGTCACCATGATTATAAGGAATGGGGATGGACTGGCCAAGGGGGAATGGGCCGGTTAGGAAGAGGAGGTGGGGCCTGCAGGGAATGGGCGGGGCCACTCACCTAACAACAGCTGTAATGTGTAGAAGATGCAACCGAATATGCTATTGGATTGATTGAGGATGCTGTCCGGGCCAAGCACATGTTCCACCAGTCCGAACCCCCGGCCCCACCTGGTGGAGGGGAGGGCTCAGGTTAGGAGTGCCAACCCAGTGCGTCCTGGAGGGGTGATTTCCAAAAAGCCACCCAGGCTGTACTTTCCCTCCCCCCGCCCCACCCTGCCCAATGCCCTCCTGAGTCCAAGGTTCGAAGGCCTCCTGGCTAGCTCAGGATTCCACGTCACTGCCCCTATCCTATCCTATCCTATCCTATCCTATCCTATCCCCAGGCCAGGTCAGGCATGGCCATGGCTCCACCATACACCCCTCTTTTCATCCTAGACCTTCAGTAATTCTTAAGATGGCAAGGTAGGTAGAAGGGTTGACTTGGCTTTATAGTGCTACCAGAGACTGGGAATCCAGTGCAGAATCTCACTGCCCTGGACCTCTAAATCTCCAGCTCCCTGGCTACACACTCCCCTCCTCGAGCATAGCCAGGCCCTCAAGCATAGCCAGACCTAACCACCTTATCCTGTTACGGCCATCCCCAAGACCTCAAGACCATCATCAGTCCCTATACACTATCCCATTCCCCCTCCTGCCCGGTTACCGTTATTCCTTGGCATTAGGATCTACGTGCTACTCCCTATAATAACCCCAGCGCCCGGCACTATCTGTAGCCCCAGCCCCAGGCCCCACACTCCTAACTCAGACACAAAGTTTCGCCAGGCAACGCCCCCTCGAGCAGCCCCGCCCCCATGCGTCCGCTCCCAGGATCCCGATCCCAGGCTCCAGAATCTTTTGGCAACGTGGCCACTAGGACAAGCATCCCAGTCCCCCAAGCCTCCCACTCCCGCTCGCACCTGGAGGAAAAGACGCGCGAACAGCTGATGGCGGTGCCCACGTCGCAGAGCGCGCGGTAATCCTGGTCCCGGGCGCGCGCCGCCTTCACGTGCAGTGCGTAGAGCGAGAGCACTAAGCCCGCGAGGCAGAGCCCGAGCCGCACCCATCCAGGGTTCTTCCAGGTAGCGCCCATGATTTACGGTACCTTCCGAGGCGCCAGCCCGGAGGGAACAAGCCACGGAGCAGGGGCGGGGCAGGATGTGGCCACGCCCTCTCCCGCCCCTCTGACTGGGCGATTGGCCTGACTGGTCTCGCACTCCCTGATCCACTGGTTGTTCCTAGTACTTGATGGGCGGGCTGGCAAGGTAGGAAAACAGGGAGGAATGCTGGGACTGAAAAACTAGATTAGGGATTAGGGGTAATTACAGAGCACAAGGCCTGTCAGGCATGATGGGAGTAGTAGTCCGAGCGGCCGCAGCGCCTCAAGGGAAATGGAGTCTCCGAGTTAAAAAAAAAAAAATTATATTAATGTGGCTAACAGTATAGCGCTTAGGCTATGCCAGACTCTGTTCGAAGCACTGGAACATCCAGGACCTAGAGACCAGCGGATCAGGGAATCCAGCGAATACTGCGGTCCGATCAAGAACCAGCATTTTCCCTGAAATTATTATTTCAGATACTATTAGCACTATAATCTCCAATCCTCAGTGCTTGCTCAACCATTCCCTCCTGCCTCATAGCCGCTCCTGCCGACCAGTCTCTCTCTTCCTCAGATTCCCAGCGCCATCACCACCGCCACACCCTTGACATTATCCTAACCTCTGTTTTATTGTGGCAAAACCTGAGTCTGGATCAACCCAACAGTCCCTCTTTTACAAGCCTTTGTTCAGTAGGCTAGCTGTGCTGTTTCCATCGCAATAATGGCATCTATTGATGACCCATTTCTCCTATACCTCTTCTTCCTTTTCTTTTAAAAAAATTTTTTTTTCAACGTTTATTTATTTTTGGGACAGAGAGAGACAGAGCATGAACGGGGGAGGGGCAGAGAGAGAGGGAGACACAGAATCGGAAACAGGCTCCAGGCTCTGAGCCATCAGCCCAGAGCCTGACGCGGGGCTCGAACTCACGGACCGCGAGATCTTGACCTGGCTGAAGTCGGACGCTCAACCGACTGCGCCACCCAGGCGCCCCTCTTCTTCCTTTTCATCTGCATTGAAACTCGGTTCTCTTTCCCCATTTTAGAAACAGTGACAAATCTCCCTTCACAATCAAGTTTTGGGGAAGATTTTACACTTCCAGTCTGTACTTCCTCACTTCTTCCTTGCAGCCCAGCACAACATAAACTAGCTCCCGCTCCCAAACACTCCCTTGACAACTGATGGCTGATGTCACCAGGATGTTAAATCCAATGGATATATCTGTATATATCTATATATGGATATATTTTCTAGTAATCTCTGCACCCAAAGTTGGGGGCTCGAACTCGCACTGCGAGATCAAGAGTCACATGCTCTTCCTGCTGAGCCAGGTGCCCCTCCAATAGATATTTTTGAGTTCTTATCATTCTTGACCTCTCAACAGTATTAGTCACTGTTGAGCACTCCTTCCCAGGAACTTTCTCTGGATTCTGTGATATTTCACTTTCCTGATGGCTCTCCTCTCTCTGTGGCAGTTCCTTCTCAGAGGCACTCTTCTTCTTCCAGGCAGCATGGTGGTAGAATAACAGCTCCCAA